ATGGACTGGAAGAGCTACTCTTAGAAGCAGGGACAGCATTTTAGGTTAGCCAAAGAGTTCAGGCAAGAGACTAACCTAGAACAGTGGCAAGGGACAGAAAAAAATTCAAAATATATATAGGAGACAGAACTACAGGACTTGTAGTTACCAATTAAGTTGGGGAGTTTGTAGGAAGGTGAGGGAAAGGAAAGAATCTAGGTAAATACAAGGTTTCTCTCTTGAGCTCTGGGTGGATGGAAGCACCATTAACTAAAATAAGGAAGAGGGACAAAAACAAGGTAAAGATAAGGAAAAAGTCAGATGGCATTGGTACATACTTCTAGTGTACCCAAAAGATGTCTAGTAAACAAATAGGTATACCTAGATCTTAGGAGAGAAATCCAAGGTACAAATACAAAACTGGAAGATAATGGCCAGGGCAGTGAATGAAACTGCCTAGAGAAATATGTACAAAAGGAGACAGCCAAAGATAAAGTTGTAGAGACCACCAATATTTAAAACAGGAGTATGAAAACAAGGAGAGAGTGGTGATACCGAAGCTTAGAAAGGAGAGTTTCATGAAGGAGTTATCAATGCACTGAATGTATCAAAGAGGTGAGGATTTGAAAACTGAATAACTGGTAACTTTAAGAAGAGACATAGCAGAGGAACGGCTGGTAAAGAAAGCTAAACTAGACAGGATTGAGTGAATGGCAGGGAAGAAAATAGAGGCAGAAAGCTTAGTTGAGAATAGAGTAACAAATAGAGAAGAAAAGAGGGTTGAAGAGCAACATTTTTAGAATGGTAGAGATTTTATCATTTCTATAGGAGAAAGGGACTAGTGGAAATCAGATTTTAAAATTATACCTTTGTACTTAAAATTAGTATATGGAAAAGTTATCCATGATACAATGTTAAGTGAAAAAACAAACTGCAGAATATGTATGCTATAATGTCACTTAAAATTCTGACTTCCTTCAATGACCCTCAAGGCATTTTAGGTCCCTTATGATCTGGACCATACCTACCTGTAACTTCATGGTATGCCATTTTCTCCTTCATTCATTATATCTCAACAACACTGGCCATTCTTTTTGATCCTTCAACATGCAAGCCTGTTCTTGCCTCAGGAATTTTGCACTTGCTGTTACTTCTGCCAGAATGCTCTTCTCCCTGACTATCAATGGCTAGTTCCTTCAAGTCATTCAGATCTCAGTTCAAACATCCTTCCCTAGAGGGGCCTGCCTACCTGTATGTAATATTGCATTCTTTTCACCGCAGCCCCCAAAAGTTGCCAGCAATAGCTGTGTTAGCAACTACCTTATGTGAAATTCTTATTTACTTGTCCATTCCCCTCCTAGAAATATAAGCTCCATAACAGAAACTTCATCTTCTGTATAACCAACATATTGTTCACCACATATCCCTGCTGCTTAAAATAGTGCCTGGCACATAGTAGACTCTCTTACTGTTGAATGAAAATCTGCACACACACAGATGTATTTACATGAAAAATATTAAGAAAGGTCAGAAAGGATCTAATACCTGAACTTATTTATATGGGTGCTGCATGAGGCTAGGAAGAGAGGCGTACAACAATCATTCACTGTTTCCTTCATCTCTATTCAAACTTTCTGCAGAAGTCATGTCTTTTGTAAATGAAAAAAAATTTTAATAATGATCACATGAGCCTAGAATAGTCAATCTATTCTGCTTCTCTATTTTCATTTGGTGGACTATAATGATCTAATCACCTGTGGAACAAGTGACTACTCTGCAGGTTGATCCTTGAGTTGTTTTGGTATGGCAGTTCAAAGTTAGAATCTTAAACCTTGGAGCTGGAAAGAGCTTAGGGATCATCTAATCCAACTCCCTAGTTTTATACATGAGGAATAAGAGACTTATATTAATCTAATTAATAAAAAATAGGGTGCTGATGAAAAAGTTTCAAAGACTTTATGATTAAGAACAATTTAAAAGACTGATCTATTATATGTTATATGTAATTTAAATAACTAATAAAAGCTTTCTAAAACTTAAGCCCACATATAACCTACAATCTTTTGGTGACAACTACTACTCCAAGTAAAAGTGTTTCCCTAAGCATACTATTTGACCAATGAACTCTATGGTTAAGTATCATAGTATGCCAAAGGATATGGAATGGGAGTGAAAATATTATTCATTTTTGATACCCTAACACTGTTAGGTGTGCAGACTAACTGAAGTTAGCAGGCACTTCTTTCTGCCAGGGTATACATACAATATATCAAGTGTATCACACATTTAAGGATTCATTATACTTTGATTCAAATTTCTGTACTAATTTCAATAACGTGTATTTAATGGGATAAAAGCCAAATGTTAAACAGGTAAGAAGTGCACTACTAAATATCATTTATAGAAATGTCTTAACTATTTCTCTCTCTAGACACACTGTAGTTTACCAGGAATATAACAAATTTTGTCTAAACTTCTGAATAATACCACCTTATGTTTAATACTGTGTCTCACTTGACCTTCACAACCCCAGAGATAGCAGATATCTCTGCTATATTATTATATATTAAAATGAGCAGTATATTAAAATGAGGCTCAGAGATTAAGGAGGTTGACCACAGTCATTCAGACAAGTCCTAGAACCTAGATCCTCTACTTCTTAGCCACTGTTCTTTCCAATGACCAGGTTACCTCACATTTACCATTTACTAAAATGCAAATATAATTTATTTCCTTCCTTCCATATCAGTGAAGGTGAAGAGAGTACCAAAATCCTAGCATTCCTATCGTATTCTACCTGAAATTTTAGTACATCACATTAGCTATTCATCTTAACACGGATGAGAAAAATGTGAAAGTCACCTTCACTGAGAATTGTGCTTATCAATAATTCTGTATGAAATCCTACCAATTATCTTGTTAATCATAATAAAGGTATCCACTTATTTAGAAATCTATCTATAAGCAATACCCAAAATAGTGTTAAAATGGTCTTTATAGGTGGAAATAAAATCTGAAACCAAATCTTAGCCCTACCACTAACTGTTCAACACTCAGTGCATTTCTTAACTTAGTATCATCCTCACCCATAAAATGAAGATAATTCCACCTGCTTCTGTGAATTGCTGGGAAGATTAAATGATACAATAGGTGTAAAGCAATTAGCTCTTAAAAAATGGCCAGATCGCCCAACATGGTGAAACCCCTTCCCTACTAAAAATACAAAAATTAGCTGGGCGTAGTGCCGCATGCCTGTAGTTCCAGCTACTCAGAAGGCTAAGTCAGGAGAATCACTTGAACCTGAAAGGCAGAGGTTGCAGTGAGCCCAGATCCTGCCACTGCACTCCAGCCTAGCAACAGAGCGAGACTCCATTTAAAAAAAAAAAAGAAAAGAAGCCAGATCATATAGTTGTTACAGACATAGATGCAGATGCAGATGCAGATAGCTACTGCTGATAAGTAATGTAGTTTAATTTATGTGAACTTTTACTAGTTTAACTTCTAGTCTGCCCTTATTTTTTCCTCCCAAATACTTGGGGCAGGACACAATACACTCATGCTTCTGGGAAATAAATTTAAGAGCTGAATTTCATTCCTCTTGTAACCCCTTAAATTAAGCAATAGAGTAATAATCAGCTACTTGACTGTCTTGGAATTGGCTGTATCTAAATCAAACCTTACACTAATTTGACTCCTACTCTTTATCTGAGTTGGCTAACTGCATCTTTCACTTTATTTTGAAATAAAACTAATAAGCCAATTTTATAAATACAAATCATAATACAGTGAATTCAACTTGGGTGAAAAGAGCAGGAAACCTTCAAGGGAAATGCAGGGAGGGACCTAACATTGAGAAATTATGTATTCAGAAGTCCATTTTGTACTAATTTACTTTCTCTTTTAGTCTTCACAAACATCATTCTAGTCAAAGTGGCATCATTTTATAGATTAGAAAAATTCAGAAGCTTTAACTCTTACTCTCTCCCCTTCACTCCAGATGCTTAACCACAATAACTTAGAAGAAGGCTCTTGCTCAACTCAAGGCCTTTCCTCTTACAATCTCGGCCCAGAATGGTCTCCTGTCTCTCCACAAGATTGCCTCCTGCTTCAGGTCTCACCTCATATAGTACCTCCTCCGTTCAATCTAAAGTAGTGTACACCTACATCAGTGTAGTGTGGTAAATTTTTTTTAAAAAAGGAAAAAAATAAAATAAAATTGTGTACGTCAATTACTCATCCTTATTTACTTCACAGAACACAAAACAGTCTGTATTCATCTTCTTTTTGTGTTTAAGAGCAGAGATACTTTGATTTCTACAGTGAACACAGCTGCCTACAGTCATTTTTAGCAAGTAAACAGCAGGACCTGGAAACCAGTCCAAGGAAATCTGACTGCAAGTTCGCGCACTGTCCTACCACCACTATTTTTTTTTTACAGATGATAGGAAAATTGCTTTGGGCTGGGAAATCAATTAAGAGGTGTGCCTTGCTGCTGTTTTGTATTCATTCATTATAAAGAAATTATACATACAGTTAATACTACAAAATATTTAATCCGAACTTATGCATACAGTTAATACTACAAAATATTTCATTCAAATGTCAAGAGCCAGTACACTGCCTATTAGAATCACAACTCAATTTGAAAAAAACACTACATTTATGGTGTGTCTTATCCTAATACTTCAAATCTGTTGAGTAATTGGCATCTGCGCAATTATTTAGGCATAAAAGAAAATTAAGTCACATATACAAATAAGTTTTAGTAACAAGTTTATAATATTCTTTTATAAATTGTTTTGAATTTCACAACACATCATGCAGAAAACTTTTAAAACCAGCCATATGATATCATTTCGATAATGGTGCTCTTTTTTAATGAAAGATGACACACACACTCACTGCTGGGGTTAAACCACGTTCTTGCAGGTAAGTCACTTCACGTAAAATGCTAAGAGCGGCTAAAGCGGACCACTAACAACATTCCCTTTGTTGCCTTACCCACAGGATTTAATACTTACTGCTGAGTTCTCCATCCTCAGACACTCCTGTTCCTCTCATTCCTAGGTAAGTCAGTCCCAGTATTAGGAAAAATAAGCAGGCAGCGGTTAAGAGAAACATCGACAAGTAGTGGGCACTGAAACTCCCTGTTGGGGACACCTCCTCCCGTTTAAATTGCTGGAGAAGTTCCTCTTCTGGTTCAGAAAGCTTCGGTTTGTTGTATGTGTTTTTCAGGTAGGTATGATTGGAGCCCGTATGATTGGCGTGATTGATCCTGAGTGAACCAGAGGCAGCCACCGCCGCACTGGGAGGGAGACTGTTAGAATAAATCCTGGGGGAGTCCACATTGAAGGCCCCACCGCCAATATGATTATTGGTTTTCAGAAGGGAGCCTGTTGACGAATCCAAGGTTGAGTCCAGGTCAGTAAGTGGCGGGGGCAGGAGAGGGGTCAGTTTTTTAGCATTAACACGATATCTAGGAACTGGGCTGGAGTCCACTTGATCACACCCTCCTCCCTGCTCCGCGGCCGCCGCCTCTTCGAGGTTTCGGCTCCCGTCTAGACTCCCGGCAGCCGCCGCCCTGTCATTCATCGCGAGTCCTCCCCCTCCCTGAGCTGAAGTCTCCAGCCTGCCGCCGGCCGATTTAACAGTCAGCGGGGAGAGAGGCTTACTATGGGTCCGTCTGGGCCGATGCCGGGAAAGGGAGTCGTCCTTTAATACCTGTCTGGTGGAGGCCACGTCGTCGTCGTCCTCTTCCTCTGAGTCCGAATAGTTTTCCCGGCAGCTGTAGGGGACAAGCCGGCTGCCATTCACTGTCCGGCTGGCCCAGAGCGGCTCCTCGGCCTCCGGGTCCCTCTCTTCACCGTCCTCTCCCTCCCCTTCCTCGTCCTCCACTGCTCCATCTTTCCCCGCCGCAGTCTGCAGCTCGGGGCCCGCCGGCCTCCTGGCCCCCCACCACGAGTGGGGCTTCCTTCGCTCGGCCGAGTTGCTGTTAGTCACCTCGCTGGCGGCCAGGGACGCCGGTGGCGCTTTGAGCCCGCGGTACTGGAGCGAAGCCCGGTCTTTCCTCCCGCCGCCGCCGGCCTGGTCTTGGGGACTGGCCTCCACGTCCGACTCGTCCGAGCTGAAGCCCAGCAGCACTTTGCTGCCAGCCGCGGGGGCGGCGGAGGAGCCCCCGGGCCCTCCCAGGAGGCTTTCCGGGCCAGAGGCCGAGATTCGGCACAGGCCCCCAGGGGTCCGTAAGTAGGAGAGGTCGCCCGAGACCGGCCGGACCCCCATCCCCGCGGCCGCTGCCGCCGCTGATCCCGCGGCTGCGACCGTGGCGGCTGCCGTGTTATTGTTATTACTGTTCCGCGTCTTGTTGCCGCGGCCCCCCGACCGGTGCTGCTGCTGCTCTTCCTCTCGAAGCTTCTTCAGCTTCTTGAGGTAGACTGGGCGGGTGCTCTCCGTCACTGGTCCAGGAGACAGGCCGTAACGGCGGAGCTGAGAGAAAAGCTCCTCATCTGAGAGCTGCTGAGGCGCCGAAGCCGCTGCCGCCGCCATTTTCTCTCCAGGGTGTTTTACAAGCTCCGCGCTACCGGAAGTGACGCGCCGCCCTAGACCCTGAACTAGACCGCGCTGCGTCGCCCTCTCAGCGCCGTGGGTGTCTCGGCCAATCGGAGACGCGGGAGGAGCTCACCTGAGCGGGAAAGAGCCACCTGAGCAGTGAGCGGCTCCCACGGCAGAGACTGTGTCTACTCTCTCACCTTGAGGTGTCGGCGCATTCTCCCCCTCCTCTCCGTCCCGTCTCCGGCTGTTCTCCACCCTGCCCTTCCAAGTGCCATTCCCGGGAGCTGTCTCTTACTAAACCACACCTTGACCTCTCCATCCTAGGTTCCTGCCACTGGGCAGTAATAATTGAAATCTACCTTGAAGTTCATGGCATAAGTTTTCTTTACATCTGGATTCCCACTGCCGAGGGAGCCTAGACCGACTGAACGAAATTCTGCTGGCCAGACTAGATTGGCAGCTTTCCCGTCTGACTTCAGGTTGTCTATTTTCAGTTCGTCTTTCGCTTGACTTACAAAAATAAAAAAACAAAAATTAAGTGACTTTCTCTCGCTGCTCTTTTTGAGAAGCGTTTCCTCTCCTATTCCGAGAAAATACAGAGTACATCAATCACAATACAATTTTATTCTAGAGTAATGGCTGTTCGTTCATCAGTTAATTGGAAGACATTATCTTTCTTTTTCCTTTTTTGAAACCTAATGACTTTACTACGTCAGCATTTTTGAAAGTGAAAGAGCTTATCTGCTTCATTTTAAGACTCGAAGACATAACACATGACCCTATTTACTTACTTCTTAGCACCTTTCCAACCATAGTTATTATTTATTAATAAATATTTGTATTTGTTTATTTTCAAAATTATTTATTTTCCTATCCTTTTAGACTATAATAAGTTCCATGTGTGGAGGAACCTTGCTTCTGTTATTCATGATACTTGTAGAAGCTCAATAAATATTTGTTGAATGAATTAAAGAATTGCAAAGAGAGGATAGTATGAGATGAATATTTTGAAATGAGACCAGTGCCAAGTGAGGTGGAGAAACCTTCACACAAAGTCAAAAAAAAAAAAAAAAAAAGACCTGGAAACCCAACTCTTCCATTTACGGAATAGGAAACGAATCCCAGAGAGTTGAAATGTGCCCAGTGTGGTAAAGCTCTCTTCCTATTTTCCCATTTCCCCAAACCTTGGCAGACAGACAATTCTTTAGTTCTTCAATCCTATTAGCTACAAAATGCTACAATAATGTTTTTTCTGTTGAATGAGTTATTTTACCTATTACATTACACCCCGTACAGAAAAAATGTTAGCCAAAAGCATAGATCAGGCTGGGTGCGGTGGCTCGTGCCAGTAATCGCAGCACTTTGGGAGGCAGGGGTAGGTGGATCACAAGGTCAGGAGTTTAAGACCGGCCTGGCCAACGTGGTGAAACCCTGTCTCTACTAAAAATACAAAAAAAAAAAAAAAAAAAAAAAAAAAAGATAGCCAGGTGTGGTGGCAGGCACCTGTAATCCCAACTACTCGTGAGGCTGAGGCAGGAGAATCTCTTGAACCCAGGAAAGTGGAGGTTGCTATGAGCTGAGCTGAGATTGCGCCACTGCACTCTAGCCTAGGCAACAAGAGTGAGATTCCTTCTCGAAAAAAAAAAAAAAAGCACAGATACTAGCTTTTCTATATCCAGAATCAAACAGCAGAATAATACTAACCCTAATTTTTTACTTTTCCTAGCAAAAGCTTGCCATCTTCTCAAAAGAAAAAAAGCTTTTATGTGGAGGACAGTCACTTGTCCTTTAATCGTTGAGCCTTTAAGATTTACAAATGTTCTTGAATCTATTACTGTTATGCACTTATAAGAGAATTTTGCAAAGTAAATTATAGTGGCTATGATGATGATGACCCAGACTTTATTGCCGTAATTATCTGGGTGGGGACTAAAATTATTATAAACTTAGCGGACTTGTGTCTCCATGTAGCAGAGTGGTTAAGCTGTGAGGTTTGGAGTTAAATGAAACTAGATGTGGACCCAGCCCTGTCTCTTACTTTCATTCTTGGTTCAACATTTGCTTTATACCATACTGGCTTCTCTGATAGGAATCATAGCAGTCAGTGAACCTAGAGGTCATGAACATAGAGGTTTATGAACCTTTAAATGACCTCCTATAGAGACTGTTGAATCATTTATACTTCTGCCTGTGACTTTGGGCAAGTTAATTCATGCTTTCAAACTTTAGTTTCTGTACAAACAGAAGAGGGGTGATAAAACTTCCTCAGAAGGCTGTTTTAAGGAGTAAATTAGACTGTATCTGCATAATGCCTAGCACCATACCTAACACACAGTGTGCACTCAACAAATGTTAGTCAATATTATAAAGGTAAGCATTTTGTGCAGCCATTTCAGTAGCATGGCTTCTGAGAACTCTATGTAATAGCAATTAAAGGAAATGCTACTCCATAGACAAAAAATGGAAACGTTCAAACTTTGCATGAGGCATTACGTAATCCCAATTAAAAGTTAATGAAGATCAAGGGGCTTGGTAAACAGTCATTGGTCATTTCAGCCCTTTGGGTCAGCAACGTTTGGACCAGGAACCAAAGGTTTACAATTTCAAGTTGCGTGATTTAGGGCAAATCCTAGGCTCTCAGAACCTTAATTTATTATTTTTTAAAACGTGGATGGCTGGATGCTGAGAGTTCATTTCCTTAAAGAATGTCGTTTCTGGTTCGTTATTAGAAACAGTTGTATTTTTCCAGAGCAGTTCATTTGTTTTTGTTTTAATATTTACTGAAATGATATCCACATAACATTAATTGTTTTATTTTATTTTGTTTTTGAGACAAAGTCTGGCTCTGTCACCCAGGCTGGAGTGCAGTGGCGCCATCTCAGCTCACTGCAACCTCTGCCTCCTGGGTTCAAGCGATTCTCCTGCCTCAGCCTCTCGAGTAGCTGAGACTACAGGTGCATGCCACCATACCTGGCTAATTCTTATATTTTTAGTAGAGATAGGATTTTGCCATGTTGCCCAGGCTGGTCTCAAACTCCTGAAACATTTTCATCACCCCAAAAGTAGATCCAGAACCATTAAGCAGCCACTTGCTATTCTCCTCTCTCCCCAGCCCCTGGCAACTACTAATATACTTCTTGTCTTTAGGGACTTAACTCGTCTGGATATTTTATGTAAATGGGATCATACATTACATGACCTCTTGTATCTGGCTCCTTTCACTTAACATAATGTTTACAAGGTTCATACATGTTGCAGCATGTATCAGAACTTCATTTCTTTTTATCGCTGAATAATATAATATTTCATTATATAAATATGACACATTTATCCATCTGTTGATGAAGACTTTGGTTGTTTCCACCTTTGGTTATTGTGAATAATGAATGTTACTATGAACACTGGCATATAAGTATCGTATGAATAGCTGTTTTCACTTTTTTTTAGGTATGTACTTCAAAGTGGAATTGCAGATTATATGGTAATACTATGTTGAACTTTTTGAGGAATCACAAAACTGCTAATTTGTTTTTAACTTTATGGATGTGTTCAGGCAAATAAGAAGGAAGCCATTAAGCCCATGCAGTGGCTCATGCCTATAATCTCAGCACTTTGGGAGGCTGAGGTGGGTGGATTACTAGAAGTTAGGAGTTCAAGACCAGCCTGGCCAACATGGTGAAACCCCATCTCTACTAAAAATACAAAAATTAGCCAAGTATGGTGGCTTGTGCCTGTAATCCCAGCTACTTGGGAGGCTGAGGCAGGAGAATCGCTTGAACCCAGGAGGCGGAGGTTGCAATGAGCCGAGATGGTGCCACTGTACTCCAGCCTGGACAACAGAGCAAGAAAGAGTCTCAATAAAAAAGAGAAGAAAAAAAAAAAAACAGCAAGAAGGAGGCCATTTGCCTGAGGCTGTCTCTGTACCTAGAGCTCTTATATAAGCAAACTGAAACTGAACTGGAAGCAGATCTTGTAACTAACTTAAAAAAAAAAAAAAAAACCCACCAGCTTCAGCCAATCACAAACATCCAACCAGCATATATATATAACTAGACATATAACTAAAGACTTCCGATCAGACCATACCCAAATAAGGCCAATGCTTAGCTGTAGCCAATCAGGTAATTTCTTTACTTTGTTTCCATGTTGAGCCAAAAAAAAAAAAAAACCCCACAAAAAACAAACAAACAAAAACATCCCTGCTTAGGCTGCTAGAGTGGAGTTCATAAACTCTTTTTGGCTAGATGCTTCCCAACTCATTAATTATTATTTTGCTTAAATAAACTCTGTCAAATTTATTTTGTCTTAAGTTTTCCTTTGTCAGATAAACACTGTTTGGTGACTTGCCATGTTTCCCCCTTTGAGATAACAGCTAAGAAGTTTTTACTCAAATTTGTGGTCCAGTCAGAGCAAGTATATAGGGCTACATAGCCTACATTTTATAAATTAACCTCACTGTCCATCTACATTTCCTAGCTTTATTTTTGTGTGCCTCATTTTAAAATCTTTTTGTTTTTTAATTTTTGTTTTGGCCAGGCATGGTGGCTGATGCCTGTAATCCCAGTGCTTCGGGAGGTCGATCACTTGAGCTCAGGAGTTCAAGACCAGCCTGGGCAACATAGCGAGACCCCATCTCTACAAAAAGTTAAATAAAATAAAAATTAGCTAGGCATGGTGTTGTACACCAGAATCCCAGCTACTTGGGAGGCTGAAGCAGTAGGATCACTTGAGTCCAGGAGTTCAAGGCAGCAGGGAGTTGTGATTTCACCATTGCACTCCATTCTGGGCGACAGAGCAGAGACTGTCTCTAAAAAAAGAAAAAAAAATATTTGAGATGTTTTTAATGTTTCCTTTATCTTCCTAATATGATATGCATCTTTTTAGCTGCCTTAAATCATTTAATTTATATAATTTTATATAATTCATCTGACAACCCATTGGGTAGGTTGTATTAGTCGTCATCTTTTACAGATGAAAAAACTGAAAGCTAGAAAAGTTACTTCACTCAAGTCTCAATAGACAGATGAGAAACTGAAACCCAAGACCTCTGAG